AGTCATGGAACTTTGTTTTTGTACATGATGACTGAAGCAAGATTACTGTATGCATAAAGATGGAAAGATCTGGCAGTAACCACAATGGAGGAATGGGTGGTGAAAAAGATGGAACTTGCTGAGATGGCTAAATTGAAAAGACAATATCTACATTTATTGCTGACTGGAATCCCCTTATGGACCGAAAAAAAATGAACTTATGATTTATGGTTTTGACAGTTAGACGGGATAGATTATAGGAAGAGTTATGTTGTAACCAAAGTGTAAGAGGTGAGTTTAGAACTGTACTTATAACCGCTGTAAACAAGATTGGAAGCTCCTTCTTTGTATCTTTTTTTCTTTCTTTTCCATTTTTTTTACTTTTTTCCCTTTCTTGCACTTTTGTCTTTCTCTTTCTTTCTTTTTCTTTTCTTCTTCTTACTTTATATTCATTTGTATTCGTTTTTATCTTCCTTTTTAAAAAATTAATAAATTAACATTTAATATTCCATAACTACATAATATATAATGGTTGTATGCAAAGATTTAGGTAGGTAGGTAGGTAGGTAGGTAGGTAGGTAGGTAGGTAGGTAGATAGATCTTCCTAAATCTTTGCATGCTACCATTATATTTATGTAGTTTTGGAAGTTTGGGATGTCTTTAGACTTTTTAAAGAAAAGTTACCAGTTTGGTATTAGGGTAGTATACAGTACTTCTAGTTATCACAAATTCATGTTTAATGATGTAGACTTTTAATCAATAACTTGGCAATTCTTATTTTATCAATTCTAGCAGCTTAATGAAAGTTGTAAAATCACTTTCTTATACTATATGAAAAATCCCTTTTATACAATAGATGAGAAATATAAACAACTCATACGCGTTTTTTTTTTTCCTACAAGGCCCACCCGGATCCAGCTTCTGCAAAACCTTCTGGTTTGGGTTTTTTGAGGGCACATCAGAGATTTCTCAAAGATGCCTCATTAACACTGCATGAGACTAGAGGCACTTTTGACAATCTGCATCAGACTGAAATAAACTCTAGGGATTTATATTCTCTTGACACTGGTTGTGTTAGAGAGCTTCATGTAAGTTTATTTCTGGCTCACCATGGTGAAGTTGAAACCAAAGTAAAACTTTTTTTTTGCAATCTATACTTGTGGGTGGTCAGTTTCCTTCTTTGCAGGAAGGAACTCTTGCCTCACCTCACTTCCCAACATTGGGCGCTGTCACCCTAAAATGTATGCATGCATGTATTATGCACCTATATCACCATAACCACCACTGAATCTCCATGCTTAACATCAGTAAAACATTAAAATGCATGCTGATCGCACTCATACTTGCAAGGGGAAAAGTGGATTGACTCTCAGAGGAACCACAGAGACTTTTTTGGCATACCAAAGAACAGAAAAGGGGGGAAAATATAGATAATTAAGGTGTGGTAGTGTAAATAATTTATTTCATTCCCCTTTTTAGTATTGGGAAAGGAGAAATGAATTTTATTAACAGATCAGACAGTGGGAACAGTATTGGGAAGTGTACTAAAATTCCTTGAAAAAGTCATGACAGTTAAAGAGATAGGAACTTTAAGTATAGACACTGGAGGAATATCTTTAATGTTCACAGACAGGAAGAATGTTCTGGTTATACTTGATATCATTCCAGGTTCTGTCTGTTTACATCTCCCTCAAGTTTCTGAACCCGTTCCATTCAGCTCATTTTTACACGAGTTTGCATAATTCACACATGACTCTTCCAAATAGTGGAAGTGCCCTCTACAAGACTCGTGCTTCATCGCTATGTATTGATAATCTACATATCAATATGTAAGCATATTGATTTTTCTGTTTCAAAATATTCAAAATAGATTCATTCTTTTCTTCATTCATGGGAGATGTAATGAAACCATATTTTCTGATAGAACGATTGTTTCAAAATCAACTTCCTTTCCATTGGTACTAAACATTTTGCCCCCAACTTTATTTTAGCATTCATACAGCCAGATCTTAGATCTTACTCATGCATGTATATAGTATATGCAGTCAAGTCTGAAATGAAGAGAATACCAAAGGGCTTTGAAATGCTACTCTCCATAGAATCAAAGCATGTGCATGTGTGTGTCCACGTATGTGTGTGATTGGAACAGAACTATAGAACACCTGAGTATTCTTGTGTATCATTGGAATACAACATAGAACAATGGAGTAGCCTTGAGTACCATTGGAATAGATACTCTATTCAATAAAGCAATACAATTGAGTATTCTTGAGCATCACTGGAATAGAACCATAGAACATCTGAGTATTCTTCCCAAAGTCCATGGCCATTTAGAATTTGCACTCGGATCAATATTGCATAGAATTGTGAGAATGCAAGTTGGCAAAAGTACAAAGAGTTTAAAGATGACTTGCCTAAGAGTCATTCTCAAATGCAATTCGTAGGGAGTCCCCTGGAATCCTGAACTGAATCAACCTGTTGATTTGACATGAGCTGCTCATTAGATGTCTGAGAGCTCTGAATCAGATTGATTCAATTTCCTGATGGAAAAAACAATGGGGAAGGGAGATATGCCCATGCACAAAAGCTCCCCCAAAAGGCTAATTCTACTCAAAGCCATCCAATTCACTGATTCACCTTCCAATGCCATCTCCTAATAAAAGCTTCACACAGCTACACAGAGTCCACTGGAGTCAGGTGGCCAATAAATTTAAATCATCATCATCATCATCATCATCATCATCATCATCATCATCATCGGTGCAGTTATGCTGCCACCAGCCCGGATACATATACAGAACATCAGGCAATCATAAGCAATGCTGAGGTTGAAGTAGACCCCTTAGCAACAGCAGATTGTTCCATCGCCTTGCTAACATGCTTTGACCACTCAGGTTGTCACAGGAATGCCAAGTGTGATAGTCATGCTACTCTGCAATGTAAAAGAAAGGTCTGTGTACCTCAAGGGGGTGAAGAGCAGAGTCTCACTTCTAATGGGCAGAGCTCAGTAGGGCATTGGTCTGCAGCAGCCCCAGAGGAGGGTCTTCTCTGTCTACTCCAGAGCTGCTGATTGCTCAGAAATACGTGCTAGACCACAGCTGACAGCTTTAGTGCGTACCTCAGTCTTATGCCATTCAATCTGTGTTGTGTTAGTGTTGTGCCAGAAAGGACATAACAGAGATCAGACCAGGCCCTTTAATAAACCAAGATGCTCTGCTGAGAGAGAAATGACTGATTTCCACTACAGGAATTGCATTCCCTCTCTTTTCATTTTCTGGTGCCTTTTCTGGTGCCAGGATTTAGCTTAGAATATTTTTTTTGTCATATATTTTTGTAGGGTATGGCAATGAATGGAACAACAAATTTAATTTGAGAGTGAAAGTGAAAACAGGTGATGAGGGTGAGGGTGAGAATGATGGTTGGTACTGGCTAGCTAGGCCCATGGATCTTCAGTGGTATAACTGTCTTGAGACTACTGCTACTTTGGAAGTGACACTATGTTCCTAAATACTCACAAACATATATTCATAAATACTTTACCAAAATATTTCAATTCCAGTCAAGTAGCCCAATATTTAATGAAACTTTTGGTCAACCTACCAGGCCAAACTTCCTTTAGCAAGCTAGCTAGGATTTATCATTTTTTACCTCTCATCTCTTGGGCTGTGTGGCTCACAACAAAATGGATTATAGGGAGTTTCAATAGAGAAAGGAGTGATAAACCACCTAATCAGCCTTTTCGATTTATGAATTTCTGCAATAACAAATTTTAAATTCAAATTTGGATCCTTCAGTGCAAAACACACTTTCCATCATTGAATTCTAGCCCCACCAGGACTCTGAGGAATCCTTTGCATAATTGTCCAAGGATTTCAGGGAAATGTGGCAAGACTGTTGTAGGACCATGTATATTGAACTTCCTCTCATTATAAATAAAAAATAGAACCTCAAGCAACAAATGCTGGTGGGAAATGGATTTATTTACATCTGATAAGTTCCTACTTTTCTATGCAAGTTTGGCTATCTAGGCTAAGCTGGAGAAGCCTTGGGAGGAAGCAAAATCTATAGGATGATGGATTGTCTAAAAGCTAAGCAGCATGAAGTCTGGTTGGTACTTCAGTGGATGACTGCCGAAGAGTTCCAGGGTGATTGGCTTGACAGAGAAGCTGGAAGAAGGCATTGGAATGACAAGGGTGAAGTCAAAGGAGGAAGGGAAAGCTAACAGGTTAGAAATTACTTGCCGTATGTTAGAGTCTATCTGTGATACACAGAGTAAGCTTTCTTTTTTAACTCTGTTGTGGAATTCCCTTTGTTCCCTCAGACCAAAACATCTGTCAGATGTTAAAATTCACAGATGATTAACCAGTCGAGCTCACAAATTCTGTCATGCCATTTGCCATCTGGATGCATTTCCACACACTTTTCGTAACCAACGTTATTTGGTTCTCCCGGAGCCCAGCTGAAAAATCCTACGGAATGGCCATTCAGATCCACAAACGTGCGTTGAGTTGTCGTGTAACTGATTCCCAGGACTGCCCGTCTGTTATGCCATGCTACTATTTGTTGGAAGGCACTGTTCTCTGCCGCATCCCTCGGCAAGGCAAGGTTGCCGCCTATGCGTGTGCAGCTGGCATTGGCGGCATGGAAATCACCCCTACTGCCATCTGTTTTGAAAATTTTCTCACCAACAATCACTCCATTGGGAATAAGGAGAACTAGGAGGAAAGAGAATTGCAAAGCTTTCAAATGCCATGTTTTGCTTATGCTGAAAGATGCCAATGTACCTTGACAACATCTATGGCAGTTTAGTGGAAGGGAAGGTTTTTCAGTGAAATATAAAACATGCTTGGGAGAATCAAGGGATGGGCATATGCTTCAATGTCCAAAATAACTTTGTATCCAAAGGCAAATCTGATGCTGAATTCAGTTCTAACTGGAAGCCATTCGTGGACTATCACTTAATACATTGATCTGTACCATATCCAAAAATGGGTTGTTCTATCTTTAGAGACTATATTTCAAATTAAGAGAAAGAAGATTCTAGTGCTGATCTAATTTATTATACCCTATAACTCTAGTTAGTGATTTATACTGTGTCAGCTAGGTATTCTTTAAAGCTTAAGAGCGCTTTTTAATTTTTTTCTTTAAAAAGTGAGCTAATACATTTCGTAACTTTATAAGTAACTGATGAAATATTGAAAACTATAATCTCCATGACATCCCCATCCCTGTATTTACTTATTTGTATTTTGCTAACTGCATCTTTCTCTTTTATTCTTTTTATATGTCTTTCATCCGTCTTGGTTTATAGACCTTTTAAAAACACTTAATTAAAAAAAGGGAAACATATAAAAGATGAATAAGCAACCAGGAAGCTACATGTGGCTTTTAACTCTTTTTTGCTACACTAACCCCAGACTGAGAATCACAGAGCGGGTCCCCTGCTCAGTTCAGGAATCCAGATTGAATGAGATATCCACAGCAGTAAACCGAGAGCTATACTAAAGATTAAATAGCTTACCCACATTGGAAGAGACTAACCCCTTCTTCCAAATTTCTTACCTTTTTGAGTTTTGGTGAGGGTAGCTTTGAAAACTTCCATCTGTTTCTGAAGTTCTCTCATTTCTGCTTTAAGAAGTTCAAGTTCTGAATGGGAATGTAATTGCATTAGATTTCCCAATTGACATCAAATTCAATTAGTGGTTCTTCAAAAGAAATGTTATTTGTAATAAGCATGACCTCGGAGAACATTTTCATATAGTCAAAGGTTCTCAGTAACTTGGCTCTAATTCCTAATGCTGTTACTCCAGGCACCTAATGATTGGATTTGTCCTATCTTTTCTTCTTTTAAAGAAACCATAAGGGTCATCTCATATATTTTGAAGCAGGAAACATGATTAAAATTAAATTAAAAGTAATTTCACTTTTAGGAATATATGAAAAATGGTAAGTATTCTATTTTTGGAAACATGTCCTTCATAACTATAATTTCTTCTGCAATCTCTAGTGTAGATATTCACCAAAAAGCTGATCTCCAAGATTCATGCAGAAGATACCAATTAATGACATAAAGAGAAATATCAGGGCTTATATGTCCTTAATTTGGGAGTTCAATAGCTTAGATGTTTCTTATATGCATATTTAAAGTGGTGATGTGCATCACATCCCTTGATTCCTAATACTGTTTTTCCCTTATGAATATTTCTACTGAACACACACAGTGTATTTATTGGTTGAACAAGAAGCAGAGTAACTTTCTTAATAAGACAGAAGGAAGATCACCAGCCCAAACAATAGGTATCCTGTTTTCCAATGTTTTGTTCAGATCTCAGCTTAGCTATTGATAGAAAGCTGGTTGGACAAGTTTTACCTGCAGAATACAGTGAGTTCCAAATTTCTTCTTCTTTCTGGCTGGACCACAACTATGTTTGACTGAGAAGCAAGTTTATTAACTCAGTGGATGACAGGTAAATTAACTGCCTCCTTGTTTGGAAAGGAATTAAAGCAACCTTGTATAAACATGCATAACTTTAAGAAATGACAGATCTGATAAAGATGCCAGCTGTGAGCCAAGGAAGAAGTTTTGTGGAATGTTTCTGTGAGGGATGGTCTAACAATAGAGGAATAAGAGGCCCAGTTGATTTTCTCTGAGGAGCAGAAGATACATCAGAGCCCAGTGGAGGAAAACAGCTAAGAGTATTAACTGGCAAAAAATGAACTTTCTGCAATGTTGCTTTTCTGTCAGAGCTGAAGTGAGGCTGTCAAACTGATTCTTCAAGGAACCCCAGGCCTGTAAACTAGATCAGAAGTTTTTAAACAAGCAAATAACCTGACAGAGGTCAATGGCAAACCAGTTCTGTAATGTGGCCCGGAAAGCTGCACTCATCTGTACGTGTACTCACCACAGTGATATCAAATTTCGTTTGCTTTGACCTTGTACAAATACAAGGACCCGGAAGAGTGAAACTGGTAGCTGTAAAGTTCACACCGCACACTGAGGCAGAGTTTGTTGAATAAGTCATACAAGTCATTATATGGCAGAGTTTACATATAATGCTGAGCTGTAGACCACAGTTTACAAAGCTCAGTGGCTGAACTCATGCAACACAGCTTAGCATGGGTGTTTGAGCCCAACTGATGTGCTTCAGCAACCATTGCTTATGGTTTGATTGATGGATAAATGAAGGTCAGTTATGATTTATTCAGCAAGCAATGACTAAAACAAACCTGGCCAGAGAGTGTGGGAATCTAGTATCTTATGATTTGGTTTGAGCAGGATTATGGCTCAATGTAACAAAAATTCTCACTAAAGTAAATAAATAAATAAATAAATAAATAAATAAGCAGAACCCTAGTTCTTGTCCTAGCCTATCCCACTAGAATGTTTTGAAGATAAATAAGTGTAATATTAAAAAGCATTTTGTGTAACTAAAAAGTGTAGTATAATAAATTACCTTCTATGTCCTGTTGGTATTCACATCATAAATAGTTTCCCCCCCTTCCCTTACTTTTTTTCTCTTTTGAACTCCAGCTTGTCCCAGGCTTATGGGGGATTTTTTTGGAGGGTGGGGGTAGAGTCACTGTATTTTTAGTCATAGTAATTTTCTTGCCTGGAAAATGAATCTCTCCTCTTGTTCCTGTCCCCCCTGTATCTCTGTTTGGTGCAGAAATAGCCAGAGGTTCTGCTGGACCTGAAAGATCTTGAGTTCCTGGCAATTTTATAAGAGAAAGACAAATCGGTTTAATGACCCAATAAATACTTTCCACTCCTACAGTGCCTTTATCAGCCGTGGTTCCTTACGTAGCAGCAACACTTCAAACTTTTTAAATCAAGGTTGTGATTTTGTTACTACTCAGATTTTGCTTCCAAAGTCTGGCTAAGTCTTCTATTCTACTGGTTAGGTGAGTGGGGCCAGCGACACTATGCGTGTCACACTGTCATCATGCAAAGTACAAAATGGTGCATCTGATGTGAATAGATATGGGACAGAATTATGGCTTCTAACAAACATCTATGTGCATTAGTAAGCATTACTGAATTATGCTTTGCTCCAGATCTAGTATGTGGCTTCTCCACACACATTCAGATTATTGAGTCTTGTTATAGTGACCTGAATTTTCTATTTATTTGAGAAAATACATTTTTCAAAATTGTGTATCTGAGAAATAATGTTTACATAACCTGCCTTTCTTTAATAAGGTATTACTCTAAAATATTGACTGTTCTATCAGCAGTTGTTTACTTTTTTTACTCAATGCGTCTTAAAATGCGTAATATAAAAACTACTGAGGGTTTTTTTTTTTTCTGTTTTCCATTTAACAAGCAATTGGTGCATCTCGTGAGAGAATGAAACCGGGTTCCAGTTCAGTAGTTAGATTCTATATTTCCTAAGGCAACCAGATATGAGCTGCAAAAATCTGGATTAGTATTACATGGCAGCAAAGATGACACACACACAGAAAATATACTTCTTTGTACCATCTAATGGTTATCTGGATACTTGTAGTCCAGACCTGGTAATATTTCCATGGAGGTAAAATTTAGACAACCTTATCAAAATTTCAGAAAAAGTTAATATGGATATAAACTTCTTCTTTTGCTTTATCTTTAAAGGTCTAAGTTATCTAAACATTAGAGCGTTAATAATTCTAGTCAATACTGCATAAATACCACTGTACCCAAATGATATAATATATTACTTATGTCTTATAACAATACAATAAAACAAATTTTAAAAAGGGAAAATATTTCCATGGACAGAAGACCAACATTTAGTTGCATGTTTTATTCCATGCTAAGCTTTGGGAGAGACTTTGATGTACCCTAACATCACATGTATTTGATAGGAACATCTCTCTTTCTCTCTCTATCTTTCACATACACACACATACGCACACTCATATACACACACACTACTCCATTCTTAAGATTATAAACTAGACTTTCTGGGTAAAACACATAGCATACCCCCCCCCCTTTCTTTCATTCATAAAAAACTCATGAAAACTCAAAACCTCATATATATTTTTGTTATCCTTGCCTTAATACATGTATTGTCTTAATATAATTCTGGATTTTTCTTCCCCTGTTCCTTCATATCTGTGGAACCTTTCATCAGTATAAGGGAGCTTCGATGGTCCTGGCTGCTTGGCTCAGAACACGCAGAACACGCAGAACATGCAGAACGTCTGCACCCTAGCTCCATGCATAAAAAAAAGCAGCACACTCTTCTTGTGGAGATTTAGATACCTGGAATGCCCATTTCTCTTCTGGGGTCCCCTTTGTCAGATGCACATATAATTAATGTGCAGGCATTTGGGACCCATCCCTGAGGAACAGTAGCTGATCTGGAGGTTCTTTGAAGCGATACCCCCAAGGCCAACTGAGGAAGTATTAGGAATGTCAACATGGTCTGGATGGATAACCTAAGGAGGCAAAAAATAATATAAAGCAAATTATCTTACATGGGTTGTCAGATGCTAGATACGGGACCAGTACCTGAAGTTTTTATTGTGGAATCCTTATTGGGTAACTGCAGACATTTCATTACTAACATTATTAGTGCATGCAGAAAGAGAAAGAAATTCAGGTCCCACCAAAGACCCAATAATTCAACCCTGAGCTACATATATTCTCCACCCTTCTAGAATCCCCCTCCCAGTTAAATCCAATTCTAATCAGTAGTATTTGATTTTAAGGAACTGGGAGATGAAAAGTATTAAAGGTACCTCAATAGAAAATCAAAGCAGATTTGAACTGCCAACATGGCCAGATGCCCCCTTGAAAGGTGAGAACAAGGAGAACCAGGAACATTACAAAATAACAAGTAGGTGATTAAAAGACTATTGCAGGAGTCAAAATGTCCTTCTTACGTAGTAATAATCAGTGGTAAACGACAAACAGAAAGTCTCATGGCTATCATGAGTCGAATAAAGGAGATCCTTCAGCAGAATCAGCTCAGCTTCTCTGTGTCACTTGTAGTCTTTACAAGATAGGATTCAGAGAAGGAAAATACAGCATAAATTATTTGTAGATAGATAGATAAATAGATATTTATAATCTGCATTGGTGCTTCAATTAGTATAGCAAAATTGGTGTTGGACTAGAACTGGGGAGACCAGGTTCATGTTTCCATCACCCATGGACCATATTGGGTGATGATGAGGCAATCACTCTCTCTCATTTCAACCTAATGTACAAGGAATGATGCCTTGAGCATCTTGGAGAAAGATGGGAGATAAATATAAAAAATGACCAAAAGCTGATGGAATCAGAAAGTACCTATCTTAATCCTAGCCTTTATTACTATAAAAGTATACAAAGAATTAAGTCACACTATGCATAAGAGAATACATGTGAAAATGTGCATAAAGGTATTGAAATAGCACATAGAAATGAGGCTTACCCTTTTGTGGTCTTCTGTAAATAATGACAAGCATTTTGATTGCTCAGTCGAATAAGCTACTATTAGTTCTAAACATATCTGGAAATAATCAGTAGCCTGTATGGAAAAATATAGTAGCCAGTTTTACCTAGTGGAATTCTTTTCAGGGTTGAATCGAAAGTCAGGTCACTTACTTTGTAATTTCCAGTGTTCCACAGGAGTCTTGGGAAGAATAATTTTGTAGACATTCAAGTTTCCATTTATAGACAATGGCTTATGTAACAAGGTCTCACATTTGACATTCACATTTTAACAATAAATGTTCTGAGTCACAATATTCAAACCACATTTTTCAGCACAGCTCTGTGTCACTTAGGGGTATGACGTCCCCGTTGCTTCCTTATTGGCTGTTGGAAGACAATATTAACCACAAAGCAAGTATTGTCTGGTGGTTTTAAAACATAAGCAAGGAGCAGTCTAGCTCTTTGTATTCGGTGAAAGCAAATATTTACTGATAAATTGTTAACCCGTTTCCGGTCTTGCAGAAACTTTTCTAAAGATTCTGGACTGACTGACAGATCTGGAAATGATTTTTCATGAGCATTTCTTATTTCCATCAACCAAATGAATTATTCGCTTTCCTCCTGGGACAAAATAGATTTTTTAGAGAGGAATTTCCAATAGGAAAAACGTGTTCCTGCTCTGAAGCTGTTCTGTTTTATTTTGCTTTATATCTGCACCTTATAAAAATAATGTATAATTTGACAGTGTTGCATTCTTGGTCATAAAAATGTCATAAGAATATTATTATATAATGCAATTGTTTCTTGCCTTTCATCTGTCTGTTTTGTAATAACAGAAAAAACACTTAGCTGACCATGGTTAAGTCTGAAAAAGTTAAGTAGGGACAGGATGGAACCATCTGAAAAACTCAGGGCCTGAGAAGTCTATAAAGCATCTTTATAGAAGAAGGCAATAGAGAATCATGTCTGACTGTTGCCAAGAAAAGGACATAAACATGTCCATAAAGTCACCAGGAGGAGTTTGTCTCTGGGAGATTTAACCTTTAAGAAACTTTTTTAGGTTTCTTAAGGTATTTTAAAGGTCAAGAAGAAACATTTGTACCTATCCTTTGAATTAGTTTAAGATTAATTTAAATTAATTAGAATTGTTGCAGGCTGTTTTTGGAGATGCTTAGTTGATTGATAATGTGGCGATCAGATTATGCATCGTATAAATATGACACTAGCAGATGCAGTATAATAGAAAAAAATGAATCATAATCAAAAAGATCTGTGAGAAGACAAAGAATTTATTGACTTGGCATACATCAAAAATACTTTGGAAAAGGTGCTTTGCAACATGTGGGAACAGGAACACATCATTTTTTAAAGCAACTGCATCTTTTTTTCATGTTTCCACACAAGTCTGGAAAATGATGCAGCTGCTTCAAAAGGGCATTGCACTCAGGTTCTCCACATTTCAAAGCCTGCACAGTCCTAGAATTTATCCCCATCTGCTCCTCACAACTACTAGACCCAAGAGGACAAAGACAAGAATCTTCTTGAACTCTGCTTATTTTATCTACCCAAGACCGACAGTTACTATATGGGCAACAGATTCATAAGCTGGAGGGTAACGGGCTATTGGGGCCCACTAAGGCTGTAAGGAGAAAACTCCTTCAGTTCTTTACACTAAAGAATAGGGCAGGCTAAACATTCAATCAGATTCAAGAGCAATTGGGTTGATCCCACTTTTGAATCAATACCTGAAACTGAATCAGACACTTTCAGTTGGGTGTACACTTGATCATGCTCAAATACGCCTTGTTGAGATTTGATTTGATTTGATTTAAATCCATTCAATCTGGTAAATCAATCAAATTTACCAAGAGTAACTTCTACCCACTGAGTAAGGTGATGGAAGGAAGGAAGGAAGGAAGGAAGGAAGGAAGGAAGGAAGGAAGGAAGGAAGGAAGGATTATCATCCAGTTGGAGTTTTATTAGTTATCATTAATTATACTTTGGTCAATTGTTAAAGGGAAGATAGCTTCATTCTTTATTCCATGGTTTGGATGTATGAGATGGAGAAATTGGGAAATAGTGTTTTAAAGGGATGTAAGAAAAAACAAAATTACATATGCACATAAACACACACACACACTCACACATTCTGTACATACATATACATACATACTGGTCTTTATGGTGATATTAACCCTACTGAATTTATTTGGTTTTCTTCTAAGTAAACATATATAAATATTCATTATATATGATTTTCCTGCCTGATGGTTAAAAAGAAATAAAATACATGATTTTATTCCAAAAGGAATGATTAAAAAAAGAAAAAGGTTTGAAGAAGACTAATAGCCAGTGTGAACATCATCTTTTTATTTTACATTGCATAGACATACCATTGAGACATTGCATACAATGTTAATATGAGCAATTGTTTATTCATATGTGTTGATATTAGCTTATCACATTAAAAAAGTCATAAATCATTTTGGGCTATTTTATAAAAATAAAGCCATCACATTTAGATAGTTACATCTTGTTTAAATTGGGGTCTCCCTAGCATATAGCATACACTTTTGTTCCCAACACTTCATCAGCACTCCTCTTTAAATTTGTTTCTGCTCATAAATAAATGGGAATTGTTCAGTTTGTATATTTTAAAAGTACAGTAAGTACTAATTGTAAATCTACAGGGGACAAGAAAGAGTAAGCAGAACAAACAACCTCTTAAGGAATATGACTATGGAAAGCAAAACTAAGGAAACAACACCATCAAACTCACTCAGTGTACCATATTT